CAATTCACATCCCGCTTTTAACAGAATTTGGCTAAATACAGCCCAGTCAGGGACATTACTTCTGTTAAAATTTTTAAAAGATGGAATACACAGAGGCTGTTGAACAGCCCATCTCTTGTATCTTAAGGCAATATTTCTGTACTCTATGCGTCGTATTTTAACGGAGAGGCGACAGACAACACTGAACTAAAATAATCCTTAGGTATCGTCTCGGATGTTAAGTTCCTCAAATAGATGTCAAGGAAAAAATGGAGCCGGCAGACGTGTCGCACACAGGAAGAATCAGTTTCTTCCCCGTCATCTTTACGACGTTCTTGCTAACCTGCGCGGCACATTGCCCTCCGCCCCCCAAGCAAAACGTAATCCCTACAGAGTCACCGAGATACATTTTCAACTTAATTGTGAAGTGCAATTTAAATTTGCGTGTTTAAGACAAAACAGTTCTGTTAGTGCAGTTTTGCTAATCTGGGGGAGTACAGCAATTATAGTAGTTAACGCGTGGTTGTTGCAGAGTGCAATGTATCCTGGTCTGGTTATTTCATCGAGAAGAGTAACTGAAGGGCAGCCAGTAGTTTGAAGAGCCACGAATACGCCCATTGCGACCGGTATTCGGTTCTGGTTGCCGTGGGCGAACACGGTTCAAGAAGTAGAATTGTGTTATAAAGACGTGCCGCCTGATCGTGATTTAGTCTATTCGAACCCCAGATTTCCCAGGTTCATTTAAAAGTAACTTTAATCCTGTCAGTTAAGACACCAAATGATTGGAGGGCATTTTAGTTTTATCTTATTTCTCGGACATAATGAACGCGTGTCTTAGATTTGGACGCATTTCTGTACGTTATTCTCGCAGTTCGATTTTAGTTTTCGTTCTGCTTTCGATCTTAGAACCGGTATCCGGGTATTTAAGTTCTGGAACACCGTCACGTGATATGCTAAGAGTAATGGAAGGAGGTTACTATGGCTGGTTGGATGCATTTATAAATGGATAGATTGTATGTATGGATCGGTGTATGGATGGTTGGATGTGTGAATGCATGTACCGTAGATTCTCAACTCTCCGTGCGTGCTAAATGTCCGGTCTACCTCTTTCGATTCACTCACTAGAATCTTAAAACTTTGCATACCGTGTAGTGTATTAGAATATAAAAATAAGCAAACTGTTAACACTTATAAATGACACTAGTGCCAAACGCGTTTCGACCTCAAGAGGTCATCATCAGTGGCAAAAGGTAAAGTAATTCATATAATGAACCATTTTTTGATTATATGAATTAATTTCCCTTCTGCCACTGATGATGACCTCATGAGGTCGAAACGCGTTTGGCACTAGTGTCATTTATAAGTGTTAACAGTTTGCTTATTTTTATATTCACTAGAATCTGTTTTATGATGCAAAACTTTCACTGGCGGCTGCCATTAATAAAATATTCTCGGGATATCAGTCATTTAACACGGCTGATATCCCAAGAAGATTTTATTAAAACTCGTTACTTAAAACATTGGTCTTTTCTTTACTCCGTGTTTGCACAAAATCCATCTGTTGTTTACTGTCGGCGAGAATTCATGTTTCGCAAAGCAAGAGGTTGGCATACGATTGTGTATATTGTAATCACAAGTTTGTAGACACTGGACGTAAGATGAATGTTTTGCACCGAGAAACAGGAAGCCAACAAATGTGTTAGGTTCTTATGTTGAAAGCGCAACTGTGAAGGACAGTCCAGTTAATGAGGAATTTTTGAATTTATTTCCAGCCCACAGTCAGTATTGAGACAGGCATTTAGCACGTGCAACAGATGTAGTTGTTTAGACAGGTATCCTCCAGGTAGGAGAGATGCTGCAGGGAAGGGAGGGGGTAGCATAGAGACGTGACAGCTTTCGCGTACTTTTGGCACGAATAGCAGGGGCTCTGTGGACTTCCAAGCGATATTTGGACCCGGAACCATTGCTGCAAATGTGACGTCAAATTTGTAAACCATTCAAATTTATATTTTGTTTGTGTAGTACAATGTTTGTCGTGTGAAATTTAATCAGAACTGGCAATAAATGTCACGAGTTAAGTCTTGAAGGCTTGTTGGTACGCACGCAAGATAGACACCCTAACAAGCAGGACCATAAAAAATTCTTGCATTTTCGTGACGCAGTTTGGAATTCTGAAGTATCAGCCTGTATTTTAATATACCTTATAATATTCGAGTATTACAAAATGATGCCATGTTATGTGGGTCACTTGTTACGAAATGCTAAACTTAACCTCGGACAACGGGCTGTTGTGAACACGGGAATGAACGTTATATTTTAGGTTATTAAGCGACTAATTCGAAGATAACTGTCTTGTGGGATGATACACCGATATTCACAGATGTTTCAGAGTAGCTTACTGCCCCTCCAACATCAGGGCGATATTTATTAGGCTTCACAGTGACATTTTCCAGAAGAGATCTATTTTCACGGCAATGAACCGTGGATTTTCGTAGAAGGCAGGGTTTTTTGTCTGAGAGAGTATTGAGGGCTCTTGAAATTTGTTCTTGAATTATCGTGGCATGTTAATAAATCGCCTTCTCTTCTATTTGTGAATTCGGTCTTCTCGAGGTACTCTCCTCATACCTGTACATTATTGTCCCATTCCTGTAGAATAGAATTTTTTGGTTGGCATGTGGGTAATGCAGAAACAAAAAGATAAGTAGAATTGCGTGGTAAATTTGAACTACCTACGTCGTTTCTGAAGAAGGACTCTGCTCCATGGTGTTTGCTACTAAAACATGTGTTTATAATGTCGTAGTTCAAGTAGGCATGTAGGATTCTAGAGTTATAATCGCACAAAAGTACTCAGCGTGGCGGCAGAGTTAATTTCCGTTTCAATAAAACCTTTAAGGCCGAGTAATAATAACTGTATGCACCACCTATTTTAACAATCAGTAATGCTGCTTTTTGCATATGATTCTTGCTGCAAACCGCGAGTATTTCCTTAAACAGCATCAACCACTTACTCTTTGTAATGGTGACGTGCTGTGTTTTCTTTGCGGTACGGGCTGAATTCTAAAATGCTATTTTCACGAGATTCGGCTTCAAAGGGTCAATGAAAATCGGACAGACACTCATACCTTACTGATAGGGTTACTAAAACTTCTCTCAAAGACTGCATTGAATACGACGACAGTTATTGGCATTCAGTCGACATCGAAGCTCGAAATGCTCATGGGTATCAGGCAGATAAGGCGTACGACTCGCATCCTTATCAAAACGCAGGAAATCGATAGTCAGCACGATTACCAGCAGTATCTTCTGTACCAGTTGATGTTTACTGGTGACGTCATGTTCACAGGGTTGCAACATAACAAGCAAAACACAGTTTCCTAGTTACTTCTTCCACCCATTAGACACGCTCCGAGGATACTCAGACTTTGTATCAGTGTTCGAGTATTTACCACTTACCGGTGACTTGAAATTGGGAGTCATTTTGTCAGGGAATAAATCATTTGAAAATATTTCAAAGTTCAAGTATCTGTAAATAACACCAATAGGCTATGACCGACTTCAAAGGACTATTCCGGTATTTTCATTATAAGTTTTCACTCACGCTGTTTGCAGTCTATAGTTAAATCTTGATTTAAGTCAGCCACTGTGTAGGTACATTCAGTACTGCGTAATACATGCGCTGCAGGTTAAGGCTGGGAGTCTAATAAGCGTGACGTCACAGTCTACAAGAATCCGCGGACTGGTCCTGTCGAAATATTGCGACTAATACCACGCAGTTCTAAGAGAAAAGAATTTCAGGGATATCAGGCAGACACGACCGCAGTGTGCTTTAATGTGAAAACCCAAATGGTTAGGAATAAATTGCCCCTGTCCGACAAAAGTTTTACGGGGGCACAATCGCTTTGTAGCCCAAGTGTCGACTGGACCAACTGCAGATCTTCACCCCACCGTTGTTCCATGCACAAGTCTCCTCCCAGTGAGGTGTACGATAGACTGACGAAGATGTACGTTTGCGTACCCTCTTCCAGGTAGGAGCTTCGGCTCTGACCAAACATTTGTGTGGTCTCGGAGGAAGCGGGGGTAGTACGAGTAATAGTAGCATTAGTGTAATTATATAACGAATTCTTCTCGGGCTACCGGCCGTGTAAGGTGGTTTAATAGAGAATATCCTGAGGACGAGGACGAAGATGGTTCTCGAAACGTTGGTGTTTTCTTCATCTTTTGGATCGTGTGAAGTCTGATAATGTTTTATGTAACTACCTATGGACCATAATCCAATCAAGAATAAGAAAATAATAGTTATTGTCTCAGTTCGTAAAGAAAACAAACGGTCATTTGGAGACAGACGGATATTGGGTGACGTGAGAAGATTTTCATAACGAAACAGTGACAAGCTTCAACATACAAATTAGAGTCGAAGAGGCTGGGAACCAGAATATTCTCTCAAACAGCGACAGTTACATTGTCAAGCGGAAAAGAATCCCTGTGCGTGTGAGGTGTCTGCCAAATTTGTAAGCTGGTACTCAGCTGTCATCGAAGAATGCAGAAGGACAATTTGTTTTCAACGGAATTTGTATTCTCCATTTGTTTTGACATCTGAATAAACATGTAACAAGAATGTTTTAACAAGACTAGACAATCGTATGCCTACACATAGTATAATACCAACTATAGCGCAGTTTATTAATTTTTTTAGATTAATACTCACTGACTAACCACAAACAAAATAAAGATGGCTTCCTTGTCTTCTGGGTTGTTGTGACGTGTAGCCTGGTAGAGGATTACTGACGTTTTAGGGATCCTTGCTGCCTCCACCATCAAAGCTCAATGCAAGAACTTCTGAAAAGTAGGTACTTCCGAAACGTGTCAGATTCTAAAAGACTACATGGCACTGTATTCCAGCAGTCATCTTCGCATTTGCCGTCGTGAGAACCTGAAATTTCACCACGTATGGGCCTACTTTTATCGAATTAAAAAACGACGACCATTAAATTGTACTTTATTCCAATTTGTTTCCTTCGCAGGTGGATCGTAGCGATGTTCGGAATTTTCAGGTATGAATGAAGTAAAGTGACAACACAGGGTCGCCAACTTGAGCTTCATCAACAGAGACCATGTCTTTCGTTACAGAATCTCTCCTCATTCCTAATGGGAATGGTAAGTAAATTTAGATTTCTCTTGTTTTGACAATCCATTAAAGTTACAATTAATAAAGTTTCTTGTCAGATTTTAATTTGAAGGTTTAATAATTACTCACCTACGTGTCCCAAGCGGATTCTGCCTTTCCGATCTCAACACGAGACACTTCTCATATTTCTCATCGTCTTACATGTCCCATAAATCACATCCTTCTTTTACCACCCTGATAATAATTAGTAAAGATGATTAATTATGAAAATCTCATTCCGCAGTTTTCTCCAACCTCTTATTACTTTCTTTGTCTTGGGTATAAACATTCATTTTCTTTGTACTATTAGCGCCCTCAGTACACAGTTGAAGATGTAGGATGTGGACTGGATTTATCTGACGTGGGATAGGGGCTAGCGCTGGGCTTTTGTGAATACGATAATGAACCTTAGGCTATCATGTAAGATGACAAATTTCTTGACTCTGTACCACGGAGTTTGTTATCATAGGTGTCTGATAAATTTATTTTCTATTTTAACGTATTTAAATAACAAAACACTGTCAGATTACGGATGACACGGAGAACACTTTCTTGTGTTTCTTTCTTTTTTCTCTCTTTTCCTTCCTCTACGTTCTGTCGAGAATAAAGCAAGTCGACCTAAATGAACAATGTGATTTATGAAGATTGCTGTGTGCTGGGTTGTTGCGCCGTGTATAGTGGTAGAAGTTTACCGACGTTTCAGAGGTCCTTGCTGCTCTCCATCATCAGGGCGAACGGCGCAATAACCCAGCAGACAGCAATCTTCAGACTCACCGCCTTGAAAACCTCTAATCTTACAATGTGATATATGACAAAATAGACTTTACGTAATGTAGTACGTAATAAGTGTTTGTGATGAAGCTGTGCAGTGAATACTGAAGCTCTCTTACTGGCAGCATTAACACACTGTGCTTTTCAATTTCGTCACAGGTGCGTATACTTAAAGCAGACTCCTCTGATTTGCTGCATGCTACTGTTACGGTAGATACTTTTGTACAAAATGGTACAATTAAAATGTAATTTATAAGATTTTCAACCCTTATATGAATTTAACAATTTTTTTTACAAATGTTAAGCAATTTCGTAAGGTCATCGTCTGGAATAGCGCATGTTTGAAATTAGGACACTTTGAGAAAACTCTACTTTAATCCGCATGTCTCATTAATGCAATATTTTAAACATTTATTAAATTTAAATTTTACTGATAGTGATAGTGATCCGGTAGAAATAAATCAGCATCTCGAAAATTATTATTTACAAAAATAACAGCGCTTGTAGCAATTCTCACTGCTATTAATGCAAAACATTCAGCATGGACACGTGGCTTAGCCCCGAACACAAAGACATGACTTTGGTATTACGTCATTTACGTAGACAAAACATTGGTTGATTTATGCGATATTTATTGGTCATTTATTTGTAGATAGAAGAGGCATATGGAGGGGAGCAAACTAAAAAAAGCATATGAGTAATCTGTAGCGATGGCTTTAAGTCGTTTGTTAACAGATTCATATTGTTACGAAATTAAACTTTTGATAGATGGTGTTATTCTGGATTATTAACGCAGAATAGGATTTTGTCTGTAGACCAATTAAGTCCATCGACTGGTTAACGCTGTTTAAGGAAATAATCAGAATCATACGAAACCCATAAAGTTATTAATTGTTGAAGCAGGTGAGATATGATTTATCACTTCGTTACCTCTTACCCTCTACAGCCAAGTGATCACGCATTAACAGTCGACTAATTTACAGGCGTGATGGAGTTTCTTCCTTCCGAAATGGCGCCACAAAGGAAAACTCGGTACTTACCTTGCAATTGCTGTCCTTATGGCTACCACATCGACTTGGACTTCGTGAGATACTGCGAAGCCTTGTCTCAGGGCAGCGAACTGTCAGCCAGCAAACAAAGACGTCGAGAAAGACGACGCCAGCGCCAGTCTATGGAAGTCCTTCTGGGTCTCACGAGTCCAACAGTATGGAATCTGGAACAGCAACTGCCAAAGGTAGGTAGCGCGTTTAAGACTGATTTCACCAGATACGAAAGTGCATGAAATAAACACATATGTTGTTGAAGATTTCTGTCTTCTGGGTTGTTGCGCCGTGTAGTACGGTAGATGTCCACCAACGTTTCACAGGTTCTTGCTGCCTCCGAAACGTTGGTAAACGTCTACCGTACTACACGGCGCAACAACCCAGAAGACGGAAATCGTCAAATATTATTGTTATAATATATCCATGTTTAAATAAATATCACAATTTTGCATGAAAACGTGACGAATGTGTGCAATTGTAGTCTTGCGGTTTGTAATCTTGGTTATCAACGTCTCGGAGGAATGTATCGCCTCAGTCTTCAGGGTATAAGATGAAGACGATGACGATATATTCTTCCGAAACTTCGGCAACCTTCTACAATACAATGGCGTAACAATTCAGAGGAGCACATTTCCACCAGAATGAAAAATTCCAAATGTCACGTAAGTGAAAGGAAGAGCTTGTACGCATGTAAATATTGGAATTGTAGGAAGATACTGTTGTGCAAACTTTCGTAAGCAATGTAGATTTAAGGTTCTCACGGCAGCGAGTATGAAGATGGCCGTCTTTTGGGGTTTTTACGTTGTGTAATCTGGTAGAAGTTTGCCGACGTCTGTAAGCTTACTACACGGTGCAAACATCCAGAACACAACCATCTTCAGGATAGTCTAAATTGTGTAATGGACTTCACGATAACTGCGTGAAAGTTGGCACATGCCATTGAAAAGCCTTCCGTCTTTTGTAGGTGCCGACTGAACTTCCTGCGTCGTCCGCATTACCGGATCCTGCCTTCACTAATGATATGGTTCGCGACGCCCTGCACAAAGCCGTTTTGGATTTTGAAGAAGCCTACCAGCGATCACATCCCAGACCAAGCACCTACGCGGCCTTTCATACAGACAGCCTACGGCAAGGCTCAGCTCTGGAAACTGCAGGGACCGGTGAGTTTCCATCCTTGTCGCCAATTTACCCTGCGTTTACCAGGAAAGTACAGTGCGTTCACTGATAAAGTTGGACGCATCCGTAAATTCCCGGCTACCGGCCACAACTGCATATCTCACCGCCAAGCGCTGTAAAGTTTCTCCCGATACAAGTATCGCTTCATGGGAACAATGAAATCAATTTACCTTTTGTATTGCAGTTCCTGCCAGGAGCCAGGAAGTGTAAGTTGCATTGAAGAAAGATTCACAACAGATAATTGTATACAGCAGTGGTTCTCAAAATTTGATACTCGTTTCGCCGTCACGTTTTCTTGTAACAAATCCGTCCATTTTTAGAGGCATTGCTTGTTCGTGGCGGACTCACTAGATGGCTTAGGGAATCCAATCACCGTTCTTGGCAGTCTATCAGCAGATGAAGTACGTAGGAATTTATTTGGGACAAGGAGTGGGGTGAGGTACCCTCATAATCATCATTACAACACTGTTGCCACTAATTTCTGCTTTAAAGTTTCAGATATTTTTATTTTTCAGGCCGAATTAATTATTAATGAAACCCAATTACGGATAATAATGTGATATTAACAATTATCTGATCTTTTAATTTGGATATTCCATATTATCTTATTCAAAGTCTCATGGTGCATTGGTATTCAGTCCAACATAAATTTAATGCAAATGTTCCTTTTTGGTATATGAATTGGATTAATCTGGGTCAGTATAAGGTAAGGAGTTCACAACTCGCGGCCTATTGTTTTTGTAACGTTTCTTTTGTGTTACCCCTTGTGATGATGAATGATAGTTGCCTGACTTCAGAAAGCGTGCTTTGTCAATGTCGGAATATTTCGCAATACTGCTCAATGACGAATGCCAAATGAAGAAGTAGAACTCGTCTTACTGACGTTCGCTTCCAGCGATGCTTGCGAATTGCAAAAACAGAAATTAAATCGATGCTGAAAGACTGATAAAGCAAACGCAAGGTCAAATACCTCGCTAATCACCGAGTCGATAAGAAAGAATGAATGTGGTCACATGTCTCGTCTCCATAACCCTCTCAGGAAATGGAATGTGTGTTTTATGATAGAAAGAAGACGGTTTTGATAGCATTTGATGTTCTCACGGCGATAAGTATGTGACTGCCTTCTGGTTTGCGTTGTCTGGCAGCAAGGGCTACTGAAAAGTCGGAGAACTTCTGTCAGATTGCACGGCGCTACAACCCAGAAGACAAGAAAATTTCAAGACAGTCTTTGAATGATCATGCAAAGATATATGTAATATTACGCAAAAATTCTGTTGTAACAAAGCTGTGTGTCCCCTATGCTTCGAGGTTTGCTTTTCGATACTTTCAACTTTGACATGTACACTGTCTACACCTAGCGACAAAATATGGGACTACGAAGCAAATATTTATCAGAACATATCTGTACATGACGGTGGTCTAGCGGTTAGAACGCTGGCCTTGTAATCCCGGGGTCCCGGGTTCGATTTCCGGCGGTGCCCGAATTTATAACTTGTGTTGGGCAAGGCCATGGTCTAGGCAACACGGAGTTTTCCTCCGGGGGCTTCCCCGGTTTCTCCGTGGCATCCCAACAATTACTCCATCCACACTCAGAAGAAGGCAATGGCAAACCACTTCTGCATCATCTGCCAAGAACGTATATGAACAGGTCCCAGTCCGAGAAAAGGATGGAAGGATCCTGATCATATGGACCTGTCGTCAGACAGAACACTAAATAATAATAATAATAATAATAATAATCTGTACATGTGCAACATGTAAAGATTTGATTTACGTGTTTGCAAGTAGGAATTAAGATAAACAGTTTTTCGCAGATATTTTAGTCGGCGACGGGTTACGCAATGTCAAATTACGAACTTCATCATTCCAGTTTTATGGTAGGTATGGAATATTGGTTTGAATAGTGCTAAAGTATTCAGTTTTAACATATTTACTTTTTGCTACATACATTGACAAATCTGTGGCGTATTACTTTTATTCAGATAAACATTTCAGGTATCTGTGCTGGGCTGTCCTACTGGGCTGCAAGTCGGGAGGTCTTATGACATAAATTTTGCATAGTTTCTGCGTTGTCAACACGGTTAAAGATTCAATTCTGTTCGATTTCAGAAGTCTGAATGGGAACACGAAAGATGTATTATTCAGAAGTTACGGAGTACATAGATCAATTAAACCTTGTGTAAGAAGCAACTCGCACTGTAACGGCCTGTGAGTCGAGCACTGTAATCCACTGACACAGATAATTAATAGGCCATATTCTGAAGTAATGAAACGAAGCAGCGTGCAGAAAATGGAATTTACCTCCTTTCTCCGTACAGTGTGCATTAGGCCATGTCATTGCATGAAACATATCTCGCTCTTCACCTGCCTCTTGTTTTTGGAAACGTAAGCATTTTCACAGTCCCAATGGCTCTTTGACAGTTCTACATGCATTTTCGAAAAGTTCGTGGAGGATGTAATGGGTTATATATTTTCCCTGTAGGTAATTCGTGTTTCGTTTTTCCTTTGTCATAAGTAATGGAATGTGGATAGAAAAAGCGTGACAGGAATAGACTATGGACTGCAAAAATGATTTTGACGTAAATACGTCTATATTGAAGGGTCATTCCGCAAAAAAGTGTTACGAAAAAGTGACAGGAAAAACTGTAACGAAAAAGTTACAGGAAAATCTGTAAGATGGTTACCTAGGAAATATCAACAATTTGTAAATATGGACTAACAACAATGGTCAGCTTGTATGCATTTTTATGTTACCTAGGAAACGTCATCTGTTTACTCGGCATTGTTGTGTTACCTAGGAAACGTTACTTGGCATTGTGTTACATTACTTTCGTTATTGCGGCAAGAGCTGAGCTGTGAATCGCTTGTAGAAGAAGTGCGTCGTAGAGTAGATAATTTTGTGCTGGTGAAAACGTTTTAGAATATCACAGGTACTTACCTTATATAAGAATTATTAAGAAATCTATTGTTGCGTTAGTTTGTTGCGTCATACTATGTACAAGATGGATGACATTGAAGCTAAAAGACTCCATAACGCAGAATATATGAGAGAGTACAGAAAACGTAAAAAATTGAAGTATTAAATAATGAACTCCAGAGTTTATGGTCAATGGTGAAAAATTTTTAATTGTAACCCTGTATATTTGTAACCACACACCTATTGATGATTGTAAGAGACTTATTTTGAGTCATTTGAGACACAGAAAATCCTAATACAATACCGATAATATTGACAGGTGATTTTAACATTGTTTTAGAGAAGGAGGAAAATCAAATCTTTCTCACATTTATGGAGGAAACGTTTGGCTTAATGTTGATGTCAAATCCTGAATGTAGTACTACTAGATCAAAATCTTGTATAGATATGGTGTTTGCACGATATGTTGATACTCTAAAGTGTACAAATGTTATAACATATTTCAGCTACTACAGACCCATCTTAAGCGTAACTAATTCAAGGTAGGCAGTACTGTCTTACTCAAATTTTAATAAATTGTAAAGCGTGTATAAAGAAAATATTTAGAATAAAGCCACTATATAAATTCCTTGCCGTATAGACGTATTTACGTCAAATTCTCCGGAACCGTGGTTCCACTGTAACTTTTTTTACGATGAAAAGTAGGATCCACCTTGTCGACTACAAAACATTACAAAAAATTGCTGAACAATTTATAAACAAATCTTTAGCAGGAAAAAATAAATGTTTTTATTTATCACATACACTAAATGTAAGGTAGAAGTTCCAAAGTTAAAACGAATGAAGAACATATTTAAATAAATCATGTTGTACTTAGTTGACATTGGTCACTACAAAATATGGGACACGTAACTCCACGAAGTTCATTGGAAAATTAGTATTCTTAAAATCAAGAAATTGTCTGTTGTTATTGGATCGATAAATTAATGTTAAAGAGAGAGTCGGAAGCTGCCGAATTATGACGTCAGAGATTCCTGTTTCTTGCAATCTTGGCCTTTATTGCTCACGAAATTCAAACTTTAGACCGAATGAGGATCGACGAAGGTTTCTTTTTTGCATACAGATTAAATACTTCATTATATTTCGAAACATTACAGAGCGGTTGTCGGTGTCCTTTTAAGAATCACCAAATTCGGACTTTGGACCAAATGAGGATTTCAAAAGTCGCTCCACGGTTAACTGACAAGTTTAACAATAAATCAGTCCCGTTAAACAAATTGTTCTAAAAGATTTCTTAAAGGGGAAATCCACTGACGATATACGAATATGTAAAATCTAGATTAATGCCTGACGACCTATTATTTGATTTGATGGTCGCAGCATTTACCAGAGAAGGAAAGAGCCGAGAAGTTAACATGACGCTGTGCAACCATAAAATTAATATGACTCTCTTCTACCATAGAAGGTAAACTTATATCGGACTCAGAAGACAGCCATCTTTATACTCACTGCCGTGAGAACCTCAAATCTTAATAACCGTAACATTGGACTGAAAATATTTGTATCTGGTCCGTAATCAGGTGAAGTCTGGTGACAAATAATTGTAATAACAGATGTCGATTAACCTTCTCTTCATATAACGATTAGATAAGTTATCTTCTTCGGGATTTCTTATCGCCCTCGTGATATATCGGACAGTTGTTCAGTTTACGTTCAATCTACTACTCAATAAGAAACGTTATTTGAAACAAGAGTGTGAATGTTCGTAAAAATTAAGCACATCCTACACGCGATTTTAAATCTCGGTACATCTGTTCTGCTATTGATCCGTTGGTTAACTGTCACAAGGCTCAAAGAGGTGTGTTCCTTGTTGCAAATGACGCCGGTGTTATTTTGATGTGGCGTGGAGGTCAGTAGTTTAATTTGCAGTAGGCCATAACTTAAGGGTTGATTTACGTTGTATGTTACGTTCAGTGATAAAAATGAACGAAGTTGTCACTTCCTGGCTGGAACTGCAGTGCTCACCACCAAGCAAAAACAACAAAACAGCAAAAACAATTTACATGTGTTCCAGCAGATCCTGCCGGGAGCCAGGAAGTGAGAGTTGCGTTTAACTTTGTCAGTGAACGCACTGTGGAACATTATTTGAGTATTAGACTTCAAATCCAGGAATCAGTGTCTCATATAGGAAACTCTGAATTTCGGCACGATTTTATGACGTCTTTCAACAGAGAGCTTCAGTGCATGTTTTTCTGCCAGAAACTATATTGGAAAACAATTTTCTGATCCCATTGCTTGGTTCCAAATGTATTCTATTTAATTTCGTAATTTCGAGTTAGACGGTGATATTGGATTGTGATGGAAACGGCTGTGACTTGTTTTAAGGGATTAACTGGACAGATTGCGTAACTTCGATACGGTTTGGTGATAATTGTGGTGATTTTTAATATACATGGAAGGCTGCATGCGTCCTTTGTGAAGTTATTACATCGATATTTTCTGGAGACTGCACGGTGCTACAACCAGAAGACAGCCATCCTCGGTCTCGTCGCCTTGAAAACCTCAAATCATACTTTTTGAAAAGAAGTCGAGCTTCGGTGGGATGCGGGTGTTTGAAGGTAACTTCGGGTTCGGGTTTGGTCAGCCCAAATGGTCCTCGGGCTGTGCCAGGTGAAATTAAAGAATTTCAGCCTATGCAGACCTCAAACCCACAAGTCCAGTTGGCGTTTCAACTCATAAGTCCAATACCAATATTTTCATCACCGTGAGAACCTCAAATCTTATTCAGTAGCTTAATGACGAGGCAAGAGGTTCCACGTTAAGTGCCAGCACAATAGTTTGTACCCAAGGCCCCCCTTCCAGCTGGGGGTCACCGGTGCGTGACTCATGGGTATTCTTCCTCGTCCGTCCAGTTCACGGCATACATGCGCACTCGTGATGACGGATTTTTCTCGCGTACAATAATGAATTTCGCCTCATCCGTATGTCTGTTGTTTAATCTCAGAACGCATTTTTAAACGACGTTAATTCGACGAAGTGTGCTAATAAGTTTGACAGAATTATGGTTCTGGCTGTTATCCATCGTCTTGTATTCCGTCTCGTTCTTCTTTACAGAGTTAGGTTAAAAAGCGGGGAAAATGATTACCAAGACGCACTCTGATGGCTTTGTTGGAAAACGCATAATAACTTACTTAATTTATTTGTAGCAGTGAAATTAGTTGTCATACGTCGATGCTTTCAAATAGCTACGGTGTTATAGAAGAGAAACTATGTGTTTATGGTGTTTGTGAAGACGAATGGTGTTATGGTAGGCGTCACCAAAACCTCAAATCCTACAAAGTCGCAGTTCTTTACCTGGGCCGTGTGGCTAGTCAGTGCCATTGGTGGAAATACCTCTGGTGAATATTTCCGGTGATTTGTGAAGAATTGTATTTGATGTTGGTGGTGGTTTTCAAGCCACTATTGTTATCTGTTTTTTTTCGTAGTATTTCACAGACATGTGACGTGTGTACATCACATGAAAACTCAATTATAATTTCACATAATTGAGCTTGTAATCGGTTGTGTAATATTTCGAGTTGTAAATTCTTTGAAGTAGGTATACCTGTGCCTGCTGCAGGTACAATGCGACGTACCGAGTCAGTTTCGTCAGTGTCCAGCATGTCTGTGGCTTCCACTTCAGTGGCGCCCGGACAGAATGGCGTTGATCAACCCGTCTCTAATCACAGCGCAACTCACGACGAAGCGGGCATTCTGCAGGACTTCGACGTCGCCAGTGTTGGAAGTGCAACGTCTGGACTTAGTACAGGTACTCTTCAGGTGAGTGCTGATTTAATAAGTGACCCAAATTGATTATGTTACTCCCATGCCACTATCGTAATTTACAGATGTTTTCAGCGATGTATTTTCATGTTAATATATTATATGATAACCGTGATATTTAAAACAGTTAACTTCTTCAATAACCGTGTTAAGATATGGTGTAAAACTGCTCAGTAGTTATGTTAAATTCTGTAACGGGTGTCAGCCTTTTAGGCACGTGGACCACGAGGGCCGAATCATTCAAATCTCTGTACCGTTACCAACACAACTAAATATTGCAATTAAAATCGTCTGAATTTTACTTCTCAGTATGATATTTGGACCGGTATTTGCTCTGCAAGGGAATTAACTTGTGTTTCCACTTTTGAAAAGCCAATTTGCATTATACCATGCAAGTGTTCATAAGTGATTCCTAAACGGAACTTTGATTTGTTTCGTTTCATACCAGAATAAGCTTGTTCACATATGTGTTTGCTGCCAGATATACTTGCCAAATTTCGTGTTCACTGACGAAAGCAACGTGATGGATATTCGATTTGTGGGATACACAATTCATAGCCAAAAATTAAGCGTCCTCATGAGCACTTGATTGAACTGTATCGTATCATTTGTAAGGTTTATGCAGTGTTCATCGAGGCAATGAGTGGATTATAAGAAATGATGTGTGGGAGAAAAAGCTGGTAGGAAGCGGTCGTGACCTATTTTAAAGTAATCTTATAGCGTTTCGTTTGTTCTTTGTGCTTTCGGTGACTAATCTTTGTCGTCCGCTGCGGTTTGAAAACCTTGGAGATTCTCCGCCTGGAGAATCTGTAATGCAAACTTGAGCGCTCGAAGCGTTCAGCGACAATGTTAACTACATTAATGCACATGCCCTTACATTTATTTGATTGCTATAACATCCGACCTGCAACATATGCACCCCGCTTCCCTCCCGTACTTTGTACACCCCTAGAATAACTTTACAGAATTTTAAGCTGCTCTGTCTACTTGATGGTTTTGTTACCACAGCTCAGTTGTTTCCAGAATTATTTCCAGGCATCATGAATTGACATTTTGAATATCTTATGCTTCTTGCAACATATACACCATTGGCATTAATGCTCAAGTGCAAATTCAGTTGTCTTCCGTGGCTCAACATCAGAACTGCGACCAGATAGCAAGAATGTAGCCTTACATTCTTTTTCCGTGTTGTGCTTTTTTGTTTGAATGTTAACTGGAAATACATCGACAGGAACTGTGTTAACGTTACTCTAAGCCTTTTCACACAACTTCTGGGATATATGTTACCGGAATATGACAGTAGTTCTGGGTTGTATGACCGGGGATCGATTCTCAGCGGAAGAAGGTAACTTTTTTTATTAACAATTTCCTCGGTGATAAAGTCAGTGTGAGGGTGAAGATAGCTTTGATACTGGTTCTCCATACTCTGATATGCTGGGGATAGTTGACAGGACTTGATTCTCATCTCCCAGTTTCGTATCGGGTTGAAGTCTGCGTTGCGTTTAGTTCAGCTACAAACTGTCTTGATGGGGTGCTTAAGGAGCGGGACTTACATTCGCCGAAGAAAAACTAGCAATTTGAGAGCCCACTGAGTCTCATAATTAGTTCCAGCAAGTTCCTCGTCTTTTAACGACTGCAATGTAAAACTGGATACTCATGTATTTTTGATGTCGTTTCCGCCTTACGTACAATGGACATTGGTCCAACTCGTCCACACCTCAGTGTTTAACTGTCATTTCTGTTTGAAAGCAGAATATCCGAGAACAAGTGGCCATTAGCCTGGAGAGAATGAAGGAACTGGAAGAACAAGTGAAACTGATTCCAGTACTCCAGGTAAGATGTATTTCCTTTCACTAGATTGTCCTTTGTTTCATTATTGGCCTAGAACTGAAGGTGTTGCTACTAAAATCTCAGGTATACATTTTCAGATTGTGAACTAAAGTTCTCCCCATCTAAATCCCCATTACTCTCGTGTTCATAATCATCTTCCCATATCACTGGCACTACATTGCACTGTTTATCGATAGTTTTGGGGAAAAGTTTGGATTTCGAACATATTTTACATTGCACTGTTTATCGATAGTTTTGAGGCAAAGTTTGGATTTCGAACATATTCCCCGAATATGAAAGCAGAAACAGTCTTCGTAACATTTGTTAATTTTATAATATCGTTCGATCTTAATTTTGTATTAAGTATTATTTAAATAAGAGGCTATGGATGCTGTCCGATCAAAATATAACAACATTTGTTGATAGTTCGCTAAAGTGGCATAATGATACCAGTCATATCTTTTCATCTTATTTGATCTGTGCCTACGTTTGTTGGATTGTCATATCGTCCATGTTTTTCATAGACATTCCTTTTGTTACACTCGATGTTTTTTCATAACGGATTTTAAAACGATGTTTTTTTTTAAAAAAAATCATAACTGTTCAGAAAATGTTGCTCTGTTATTGTTTCTATAAATTGTAAGTCTAGTGCAAAAAATAGAAATGGTATAGAGATTAAAAAGCAATAGCAGGTCCGAAGAATAATACGAACATTTGTGTATTTGTTGCATGTATATTCATTCACGCTGGCCTTGTAATCCTGGGGTCTCGGGTTCGATTCCCGGCGGTGCCCGAATTTATAACTTGAGTTGGGCAAGGCAACACGGAGTTTTCCTCCGGGGGCTTCCCCGGTTTCTCCGTGGCATCCCAACAATTACTCCATTCACACACAGAAGAAGGCAATGGCAAACCACTTCTGGATCATCTGCCAAGAACGTATATGAACAGGTCCCAGTCCGAGAAAAGGATGGAAGGATCCTGTTCATATGGACCTGTCGTCAGACAGAACACTAAATAAATAAATAAATATTCATTCACCATTTATACACACGAGGGTCCACAGTAATATATGAGCAAGTGTGCCGTGAAGTACTTAATTGTGTTTTAGCGTGCCACCATATGGGAAATGTTGAGGAATGCTGTGCAGCCTAGAGAGAGAACATACAAAGTCGAGTTGCATGTTTGTATCTTTTCTCTTACTGCGTGCATGGACTTTCAGGTACAGTTGTCTGTTCTGAAAGAGGAGAAACGGAAGATGATGTTACAGCTTCGACTTGAAGAAGCTGAAAGGAACAAGAGAAATATTGCCAACGATTCTTCAGCAGTTGATGGGCCTGTGTCGGGTAAGATAAAGTCGTCGGGAGAATATAATCGTGGAGCACAGAACAATTTGAAATTAAGCGTCGCTGAATACAATTAACGTCTCATAATGTCGGAGATGTCGGAAAATTTAAATGTGCCCCCTTAGATTTATAATTATTTTGTCGTCTTTGTATAATGCGGGTTAGCCGAGATAGCTATCAGTGTAGTGACTAACTACGGACTAGAGCGGGGTTCGATCTCCGACAGGGGCAGAGGATTTTTTATCCCTCAAGCATCTGCGTTCAGACCGGCTCTGGGGTCCACCCAGCCTCCTATCCAATGGGTACCGGAATCCTTTACCGGGGGTAAAGCGCGGCCGGGGCGTGACGCTGAATACTCACCCCTATCTAGTGCCGAGGTTTGGAGTGAGTAGGAGCTATATTACCCCTCCCCCAAGCGCCTATATGGCGTAGAGCGAGATAGCGTTACTTTTACATTTGCTTTATTGTATAATGCGGCAAAACTTTGTTATCGTGCACTTCACAATACAACCATTTGAGTTCCACACCTCGTTGTTTCTGATATTTCAGATCTAGAATCTAGGTTTGCTAAAGATCTGCAGTGTTCTTTATTGAAGACGCTAACATAGTCTTTTACGCTTGCAGGAGAGGGTACGAAAGACTCCGGGGGAGATTCGCCAATTAGGGTGCGCTCCCAATCCTGTTGTGAGGGCCTGGACAGAAACTACCCCCACACCCCCAGTTTAAAGTCAAATAGAAGCAGTTTACGAGACGTTGGAGTCACGTGTTCTGTCGTAACGCGGGAAGTCGGAGTCTCGCCTCAGCGACCAAGGCTACGCAACGCTATGACCAGTACACGCACCGCCCTTCGACGTCTGAGTTTCAGCGGCGTAAAGATCGAGGAAATTTCACCTGATGACACCCACATCTTACCAGCTCTTGTCCGCCCTTTGAGTCATGTGCAAACAAAACTTTTCAAACACTCTCCAGTAAATACCATCAACATCGAACCTCTTCTTAAGACGGCCATCACAAAGACGTCTGCCACCAACACTGAACTTCTGAAAGACCAGGTGTATTCAGATGTCGAAATGGATCACAGTATCAACAGAGCGATTCAGATGTACAAAAGAACTTTCAAAACTACGATACACGGTGAGAACACTCGGGACATAGGAGTTCAAATCGAAACGGCGCCAAAAATTGCGCCTGTTTTGATGATTGTAGAGCGACGCGACATTGCTGTCCAGTCCGAATATTATCACTGCCGTCAAGAAGCCTTTAGCCAGACGGAAGATTTACCACAGCGACTTGTTGATATCGGCGTTTCAGCAAAGCCTCGTTGTGTCGAAACTGCAATTGAAGTGAGACCCAAAACCAGAGACTTTGGTGTATCGGGCAGCAACGTCAACGATGTAATTTGCGATAAATGTAAAGTGAAGAAGAGAAGTATTGGTGTTGGACACCAGGATTTTAACAATCTGTTGCCCAAAGAGAATGTCTCAGTTTCTCTCAGCAACATTGGCGTCTTGCAGGACAAGCCGTTGGAATATTTGTCACCGACAACCAAGAAAGAAACAGTCTGTAGGTCAGTTGGCTGCGGAACACCTAGTAACAATGTCGTGTCCCAAGGGACTAGTACGGACGATCTTTGCATGGGAAGAAGTCGCGATTTTGGAGTCAATACGACGAAAAGGAAATTAGTGGATGCAGCAGTTGGAGATGCCTCAAGACATAAAAATTCTGGTTCTGGTGTGTTTGTGTGCGATAAATGTGATGTGACCATTCAGAATGTCGCTAAGAATATGTTAACGCAAAGTTCAGATTCGATGAACCCTAGCCAAAATGTTGCCATTGTAGTCACTTCGCCCACGACGAACACTTTGAAAACAAGTCCCAGTGCAACCATTTCGCGTATCCCCAGGCTTTCCTCTGTCCGTGGCGCCATTTTCACAACTGTGTCCACAAGCCCCACATCTCAAGTAGCAGGGAACGGGAAACGACGTATTCAAAGGCAGGACACATACACGAAACTGCAACCCAGCCCTGAGTGCAGACGCAGAGCCGCGACACCGACGCACGGTGAAAACAGGTACAGCAGAGCTACTTTTCCTTTATGGTTTTTTGTCCAGTTAGACATTTTTCTGAGCGACTGGGGAAGTTAGATAACACTCTACACAATTTTTGTTTCTTAATGTATGATACATGATTTCAATGTGTTTTTCATTGCTGATAACAAATTTAAAAACAGAAATTTTCTATCACCTACAGATTTTTAAGAATGTTCAAAAAACCATTTTAATTATCCCTATAGTTAGTGTTAAAAAAATTGTCTTCTTCATTCCTGTTAATCTTATTTTACTCTTTTTTATTTTAACTGAATTACATTAAAAAATAAAACGTGTAACTTCAAACTTATAGGTGAAAGAAATGTTGTTCACGATCCCTTAGTTGATGCTACGAAAGTATTTTTACCGCCATTCCATATAAAACTTGGTTTAGTAAAAAAAATTGTCGAAGCTATGAAGAAGGATGACCCTGATTTTTTATATCTGCAGCATAAATTCCCTCGCTTGAGTGACGAAAAGGTAAAATAATTGATTTTTTTGTCCCACAAATAAGTAAACTTACGACACGTAAAACTTTTGATTTTATTATGAATGAAGTTTAACTAGCAGCTTGGACAGCATTTGCAATTGAATCTGTTAATTAGCAGCTGAACTAGATGTCGGGTAATGTTCGATATTGAACGATTGTTGCAGTTGTGAAAAAGTCACTTCGATTTTTTGGAAACAACTGACGGACTGGCGCAATCAGGTTACAAGACATAACCAGCATGAATTCTTGTATATATTTGAATCCATTGAAATTGGAATCATGTTTGCATGATTTTCGATCGTTCTGTATAACGGATAACACTAAAGCGTTCTCGTTGTTCTTTTGTTTAAGTCAGTGCAATCACAGTTACCTATTCTTTCCCCCATAATTCACTTAACGTTAAGCCTGATTGATATATTGTGTAAGTGGGTAACATTTTTAAAAGATGTTCCAAAAGTCGGGAACATCTTTTGCGGGAAGGGAGGAACATTTTGTCTACAGCTGATATGTTATCCATTCATGTGGATGGTAACGTTTCATATGTTTGCATTGACTTTAAAGCACGAAGGAAAGTCAAGACAGATTCTTATGTTCTTTATGTTTACTTTTCATTATATTGGGCTTCAAGATTAGAGTGACGTCACGCACAAAATCGTCACGTATATGTAAGATGGGCATTATCGCGAAATGCATTTAGGGTATGTGAAATTCGCTGCCAGGAAACGGATTTGACGTCTAGTTTTCACATGACGCCAAACAGCTGTCAGTGTGAATACCGCTCAAGATCGGTTCGGGGGGAGGGGTGAGTTTGTGTGTTATCTGTGATGGAGGACCGAAAACACAACACATGATACAAGGAAAGATATGTTTTAATTTACCAGGTCCTGGAGCTGTATGTTGTGAGGAAAATGCAGTTAACCCACGGTTAGCGTTTCACATTCTAATGTTTAAATTGATTCAGAGGTTAGGAATGGAGTATCTGAATAAACCAGTGACGAATTTGTTCATAGTTGATGTTCAGTGGACCTTTTGTATATTTACAATAACGTTTTCTACTATAAATATAACACTATTTACTGGATGAAAGAACTTTTAAGGATTTAAAATGCCACATTTTCTTGCTAGAGTAAGACACGATCGTTAAAATTTAACTATTTAATAGTGTCGTTCTTAGTGAGCATCACAGTTCTGCATGAATCTGTGAAGGATTTAACACAAACGTTGATAATGCAGTTTTGCAATATTTTAACATGAATGAAATGCAATCCAAAAAATTAAGTTTGTTCTAGTAGCAGATTTATTTACAAGTGATATTGTGAAACTGCATCTGTCCTTTAGAATTGAACTCAAGAACTTTGATCATAGATAGATAAGGGACAGACACAGACAAGTTTGGTTAGGTGTGCTGGAATGATTTGTGTTGAGTCTATTAGTGAAATGAATGTAGCATTCAGTGACTGGCCAAGAAATTAAGACATACTAAAAATGTCTTTTTTGGGACAGTTAATTGTAAACAGTTACTAAAACAGTGGTTGCTAGTTTGGAATAATATAGGGTTCCAATGGAATAGACCTCATAGATTTAAATGTTAAAGTACATTAGATCCTTGTTATTCAGAAGGTATCAGGGGAGAGCTTTGACATTCACTTTATAAGCTACCCATGGCAAAGTGAAAGCATTTATCCATCATAACTGTCAGCTTTGCACCACCGTTACTAAATACCATGTCTTGAAAAATTAGCAGTTGTGCCACGAAAGTTACATTGATAATAGACCTACATTTTCTCTCAAACTTGTTTTTGCAACAGTGTGAATTATTGAGGTTATGAGCAAGTGATCTTTCCAAGTGTTTTAATTACTGAAACATGTAAATTTTTGCATTCATGATGTTGAAAATAGGTGTTTTAAAAACGGGTTAGTGATTCTGTAAATAACACTTAGTATTATTTTTTTCAAACTGTGTTCTGAGGATCGGATGCTGTATGTGTCCATTTTTCTGCCTCATTATTTGAATATGAGCAAATATTTTATAATATCATTAATTGGCTGATTTTCATTAAAATTACTATGTACATTATGCTATCTGGAGGCCTTCAGTAGCTGGTAGTTCTAATCATTTTTATCAGGTCATATTGCTGCCTACCAGTAGTAGTATGAACAAAACTGTACTGGCAGTGGCAGGAAATACAAACACTTCATCCTGAACAAGTGAAATTCAAGAAATTAAGTTGAAATTGTCATTTTAAAAATCAACAAAAATTTGATCCTTTGAGAGTGGTACTAACAAGTAAGATGCTCATTTCTTATAGGTGTAAATTATGAAGAATAATGAATTGTCTGTCCTTACTATAAGCTGTCTGCGTTGGAGAAGTCAGAAACTTTGATGATTTTTGTGTCAGGTGTACAGAATTGCCTCAAAATCTGTTTTCTCCAGGTACGAGACCTCACAACCATGTCCTGCAGAAAGGCTTTTGGCAATGCAAGCAAGTGGGTCTCAGAAGTGGGAAGACAAGTGCATGGCAGATCGTGGGCAAGACTTGAGTGCTTTAGAGGCAGAAGAGGCCAGGGGAGAGAGTTCAGAAGGGGAGACTCATGCCATTATGGACAATAGCCTCTTCCAGCCTATACAGCATGATACAAGAAATAAGTATGAAACAATTTTTTGGGACTGTTGTGCTTCAACTTTACATTTTCAGAATTATCTTTCTGTACTTGCTGCTGCACCATTTTACAATAATTTTACCTGAATTTTGACACTATAGGTTCTTAAAACTTACTTCATTCTCTGTACACAAATACTGGGAGAGTATGCTTACTCTCCGATCCCTTCTGAGTCAGTGCCATCATTCTTACATTCCTTATTTTAAAAGACTAAATTGCCTCCATTTTAACCTTGTGCATTGTTAGGATTTCTGTTCTTCCCAGGGCATGTAGGAATGTGGTTTCTTTTCTGTTTCAATAAACATAATCAGATTGTGTCCTTAAGACAATGTCTAATTCATCACAGGCATTATCAACATGCAGTTTCAGATTAGGAAAAATTGTACAAAGTTGCCAGTCAGTAATGATGTCAGAAGCTCACAGTTCTCAACAAAGTTGGAGAGCAAATTGATACATTTATACTCTGTGCAGCACTATGATGCTAAATGTACTGGCATGTTCATACTAATCAATGAGTGAAACAATTTTTCTTCTACAGAAACAATCTGCTCATCCCACATAAGATTTTATATAGACATCATATATTGATATTAGAGATGAAGTTTGTGCCAGAATTTTGTTCAATAACTATTGTTATTTTTATATTGGTCTCATTCTTGAAACCCAAAATAATTTTAAATCTGTTACTTAGCGGTAGCAAGTAACGGACGTCAAACCTAGTTGCTCAGATGTAAATATGTTTGGAATCAATTAATGATATGTGAAAGAGATTGCATTGGGAAATACTTTTTTAGAGTAAATTTATATTATAACACATGATAACTAGGTTGGTGCAAAAAATTATCTGTGAACTTCTTTTGTAGTCAATATTCTCAGAACAGTGCAGACCCATGCTTAAGCACTGAGTGTCTTTTGGAAAGTTTTGTATTTGGAAGAAATTTTAAAATGAATCTAATCTGACACATTTGAATCTAATCTGGAAGAGAATTATACATTGATTTCAGTATTTAATTTAAATGTCACATTTCCTTTTCTTACAGAACTGAGCCAAGCAAGGAGATGAAAGCAGCATTGAAAGTCCTGAATGACTATTTAAGGAAATCTGCTATCAGCAGTGTTCCGCTTCATTTAAAAAATGCCAGCAACATTGTTCAACAAGAATGGTTTAAGGTATAAACTTATTTTAACTTGCAGTTATTAGCAGTGGCTTGAAGGTCCTGGGTTTAAATCTTGCATTGGTTACTAGGTAACCTGATAGATGTTTTATGACCTGTGTAATTGACAAAGTATAATAAAATAAATTCAATAGTCAGTTTCAGTTGGAAAGGATGGGTTTTTGGATTTTGGTGCTGTGTGATCTTGTAAGTCCTTTTCAGAGGATTGAATGAATGTGTAAGAGGTTATTTTGTCCTTTTATCCAGTTGTTTATTCTTGTTTTTGTCATGCCTTATCTGTCTCTGTGTATAATACTGAGCGTCCTCATCTGTGCTTGCCAAACAAATGTTAGGATCAAGAAAAGTGGGATTTTCGTTTTGCCTGACATGACGAAAATAGTCCAGATTAAGATGAAGGCGTCGTAACTACAATGCACTGCTTTAGGAATGTCTGTCTGAGTTATTCCCTTTTCTGTGTGATTTTTCTTTATTTACAAATTTCAACAAACATCATATTCTTCTTCTGTTTCTTGACCGTTACTTTGGTCTTCCGGTGCCTAATATTTTCTTCTATTCTTCTCTATTTTCCCATCCTTCCGGAGGTAGTTTCCACTCTATCATGCTTCTTGTAATTCCGTCATTCCATCCTGGTCTCGGTCTTCCTCTCTTCCTTCTCTCTTTTGGTTGCCATTTCATGGTCATTTTTGGTAACCTTTCTTCCTCCATCCTTTGCACGTGTCCGTACCAAAACAGTTGTCTTTTCTCTATCTCCTCTATTATATCTCAATCGATCCTCATGATTTCTCTAATCCTTTTGTTCCTCACTCCCTCCTGGATATTCCAGCGGATTTCAACAAACATGTACCAATTAATCTCGATGTATTTCAGTTATCATCGTTAGTCTGTGAACATGATGACTTAACCAGTAATATTCTGATTAACATTCATGCGTTGAAGTTATATTCAACTGAAGATTTCTGTCTTCTGGGTTGTCGCGCTGTGAAGTCTGGTCGATGTTAACCAACGTTTCAGAGGTCATACTGCCTCCGTCATCAGGGCGATGAATACAGAACCCAGAAGACAGAAATCTTCATACTCACCACTGTGAAAACCTCAAATCTTACTTATGTTCAACTGTTTTACAGATTTCAAGTACAGCTTCTGCAAATCCTCTAGATGTGGAAGATTATCTTGATTGCTTTGAGGAGATGTCTGGTACACTGCTGGAGCATGTAGTCAATATGGTAGACATGAGTGTAAGTGTTTTTCGTTTTGTGTGCTATGAAATAGTTTTCTAGCACACTTCAACATTAATGGAGCTATTGAATATAATATTTATTAACCAGGCTTTTTGTTGCTAATTATTTCCCAACATATTTTGGCTCTCTACAGACCATTCTCAGGGGCATAATTGTATATATCTGAGTACTTTGTGTTCATAGCACTCTGTAGCTTTAGATTTATATATTTTATTTTGGAAAATCATGTACAAAATTAATGTCTTTGATTGTAATAAACTTTGGTATTAGATATACACATGAAATGTAGAGGCAGATATTTTCATAACTGTTTTTCATATTAATGTTTCTTCTTCTACGGCTCTCCGGTCCGTATTCTGTCCATGGCCTCCTCAATTCTCCTCTTTCATTCGGTCCTCTGTTAGGTCCGTCTGTCCGAGGCTTTGATTGAGGTTTCGAAACATCTTCCTTTTTACGGTGCAAGGTTGTTAGCCTTGCAACCAACCCCCAACCTGGAGGACCAGGGTACCTGTTTTAGTCTGACCTCTTCCCCTCAACCAACCCTACCAGTAGCTATGCTACCGCCAGCATAGCTCATGGGATCACCGAGGTACTCAAGCCCCACCACCACGACAAGGTGCAGGTACCATTAAGTGGGGATATTAATGTTTCCAGATAAATTTGTTCAAAAATTGCAATATTACATATATTTTTAATTACAGGGAAATACTGCAATGCATTATGCAGTGTCTCATGGAAATTTTGATGTAGTTTCCATTCTGTTGGATTCAAAAGTGTGTAATATCAACAGACCAAATGCTGCCGGCTACACTTGTGTGATGCTTGTATCATTAGCTCAAGTTCGTTCACACACGCATCAACAGGTGATCCGGCACTTGTTTCAGCTTGCTGATGTGAATGTTCGAGCAAAACAGGTGTGTATGCTCTTTTTAATGAATGGTAGAACAAAAAATTGAGTTTCTTGCCTTGAAACAAATTTATTAACAAGTTTGAATTTTGGCTGTCACGATAGATTGTTGTTCCTGATAACGATACTCAATGCTGTATCTGATGATACAGCATGGAGCAAATTATAATATTTGATCTTAAGAGGTTTTGCAGTTGGAAAAATAATTAATTGTATGAGTGAAGCAAGTATGTGTTATTGAACTGAATTTGTGATTTTACCTTTGTAGCATGGTCAGACAGCCCTGATGCTAGCTGTCTCCCACGGGCGGTTAGACATGGTGAGGTTGCTGGTTGAAACTGGGGCAGACATGAACATTCAGGATGAGGATGGAAGCACGTCACTGATGTGTGCAGCAGAACATGGCCACACTGAAATTGTAAAATACCTGTTAAGCCAACCCGACTGTGATGCTTCTATTACTGATTGTGTACGTTCAAATATTTAGACAACCGCATATATTTTTATATAATAGACTTTATATGTCGTGCGTGTAATCAGATGGGGGTGGTGCAGTACGGCCTGAGATACATATGCAGACAAGCAAAGCAGTTAAACTCTGCCAGTATTGTGTATAGTTCACATAGTGGAGTACTGTCAAAAACTAAATGAGAATTGTTGATGCTTTTTTGTGGCTGTACACAACCAGTGTGCAGTACCATCACCTTTTCATCAGAATACATTAAATTTGTCACACGTAACAAAAATTCTGCCACCGTCTTTGTACATAAGCACTGTAAATTGCTGTCCTTTTTCTTTCTTTCGTAAGCCCATTTGTCAAAGAGTATCATTTACTGTATGATTGTTATCAAATAAGTAATTTTCTTCTTATAGGATGACAGTTCAGCATTAAACATTGCTATGGAAGCAGGAAACAGAGACATAGGGGTTCTTCTTTATGCTCATGAGCACTTCTCTCGTGGCAGCTCTCCGTATACTACACTTCGACAGAGACGCTCCAAAAGTGCCACTCCTACCAAACAAGCAGGCACTCCACCGTCTCCTAGTCCAGTAAGAGAGAAGGTTCCACGCCATGAACAGGCAATGTGAACTGATTCATGTCAGGACAAGATCTGTCTCTGCTTCAATTTCATATTGTGTCATTTTTCTATTTTTAAACTTAAGAGGACACAAGGAAGCGAACATGAAATCTCATTGTCACACAGATTCAGTGTCATTATTTTAAATTTTAATTTTTAAAATATCAGTTTATATTCTTTAATTAATGTCGTCTTCCATAATCTGTGCATACGTATCCTACAAATTATATTTTAAATGTTTTTTTTTTTTTTTATAAATCAAATACATTGGTGAACCTTGCACTTTTGTAATGTGAAACACTGCATTATGCAGTAGAAACTCCTTTTAGCATTTCTCTTTTAATGGATTACCTGCTTTTATGTAATATGTGATTATGCAGATATATTTTCATACATAAGATTTGAGGTTTTCTCAGCGGTGAGTATGAAGATTTCTGTCTTCTGGGTTGTTGCGCCATGTAGTATGGTCGATGTTAACCAACGTTTCAGAGGTCATACTGCCTCCGTCATCAGGGCGATGAATATGCCAAATGGTTTGTGGGGCTAGGTTTATAGGGCTGGCTCTGAAACGTTGGTAAACATCGACCAGGCTACACAGCACAACAACCCAGAAGACAGAAATCTTCATATTTTCATACCATTGTCATTGTGCATTTACTAAATAGTTATATAATGAAAGAGGTATGCAAATAGGAAATTTGTCAGAATATTTTAGCTCTGTTTTTGATGACAGGGATCAATTTAAAATTGTAAATATTTTAGACACAATACATGACAGCAACAGCTACAAGAATCTGAGTGAAATTGAATTAAATGAAAAGTATGATCTGAGGTTTTCATTATAAATTGAGTTTTTATAGTGATCTTCTGGAGGTTGTGGAGCAACAAGAACACCAGTATGTAAATATAAAGTAGTTTTGCAGTATAAAAACAAATGGATGCATGTTGTTACCCATGTTATTGAAAATAGTTGAGGAGGGATTAAAACTAGGTAGGTGACTGGAATTTCTATAAATCAGCCAGTAACAAATTTATTTACATTTTTGTGTCTGTCTTGGTTTATTAGCATGATGTCATCTTATAGTATCTTTAGTGATTTTACTTATAATTACCTCTGTTAAGAGTCAAATCAGATTCATGATAACCACTAAAATGTAGGCCCTGATTTGCCAGTAGGCAAGTCAGAGCCAGCAAAGTAGTTGTTCAGATTTTTGCAAGTTGTTAACCTCAGGTAAAAATCATATTGCTGAACTTGGAAATTCATGATATCAGATATTTTTTATGCTTATATTCACTCCAAAGGTTGGATAAAAGTGGGCAGTGTCCTATCTTTTATTTTCTTCCATCTAACAGTAAAGTTTGTAAAAATGGTTTTGTGGAGGCGAAGCTAAATAATTCACACAACAGAGTCCAAGCAAACTGAGCTCTTGTGAGATTTCAGGTTCCCATGGTGGTGAGTATGTTGATGATTGTTTTCTGCGTGTTGCACTGTGTAGTCTGTTAGAAATTTACTGCCATTTCAGATTTACTTACTGCCTCTGTAATCAGAGAAATCACCCTGTTCATGGAGGCAGTAATCACCTCTGAAACTTTTGTAAATTTCCAACATCCCAGAAGACAGTTATCTTCATGACAGATTTTACTCAATGGAAAAGAAAATCCATTTAGTGGTCTAGCAGTGCACTACTAGCCAGATTTGAGCATTTGCCACTAAACCCTAGATTACTTCTTTAGTCCATCTCTCTTAGGTCCAAATATTTTTGTTAACAGTTTTGATTTCAAGCAGTTGGTAATTTATTTCCACTGTCACTGCTACAAGAAATCACAAATGACAGACTAGTTGGATGTGACAGAGAAGTTACCTGAAACTTGTGTACACTGGCACATATGCTCCTGACTTATTTTTGTTACAAGATGACTTAATTGTAAATAGGGCCACATTACAGGATTTGTTATGTGTGGTTAATGTGATTCTTGAAGGACTAGTTCAGTTTTTTTGTGGGGATGTGACATAAATATGAATTCCATACTCTACAGTTTATTGACTCTTTTTTGTTTGTGTAATTATTCTGTTGGGATTTATTCTTTGACCAAATGTTTTTATATCCAGTTTGTGTTTTTCTGAAACCTCAGCTAAGATTAGGAAGTATTACAGCAGATGTGCGAAGAGTATTAACTGTGAATCCATTACCAGGTTTCAGAATATATACTCTACACAGTTACAAAACCACAGTTAATAGTGAATACAAATATACATATCATGAGGTTCTTTATATTCTAATGAATTACAGTAACTTTAAAATCATCTCAGTTATAAAAGGAGGTTATACTCTATTTTCAGTACTTTTAGCACATAGATTATGTGATTTTGTATGCTGTAAGTCATTGTCAGGATTGTGATTTTTTAAGTTGAAAAAATTTCATTGTGCTAACAAATTATGTTGGAGATTATATTTTAATTATTACTTTGGTAGCACTGCAATTTTAGAATCCCTGACTCTGCCTGCATGTGATATAGCAAACTTCATCTTTGGTACAAGAATGTACTGCTGTTGTGAGCTATTCATTTGAACTCGAAATATCAATGCTCTTATCCTGCTGGATCTGGTAGACTGAGCTACTCTCGATATGTGGACCACAGGAAATTAAAGAGAATTTGAAAGTTGTACCCAGATAATGCAAACTGATTTGAAGGATAAAATAAGACATCTTTGTTTTGACTTAAGGCAGTTTCACATTATTAAATGAGGTTAGTTTTATAAGCATTACAACAGAAGTGGGATTGTGATGAAAGATGAATGTCTCAAAGTGTAGTCTTTAACATATCTCAGGCATTGATCATTACAGTCATTCAGTCTCATTGATATCTTTTCACTAAACTAATATAAACATGAGGCAGGGTAGCTCAGTCAGTATAATGTCTGTGGACTGGCAGCAGTACAAAGGAATAATGTTGTTAATGTGGATCCTGTTTCTGAGTTATGACACTGTAGATCATTGTTCTGCAACCAGTGTGCTGTGAAATTTTATAAGAAATTATACAATTATTCTCATGTTTTAGTTAGAATGTATAATACACACACTTGTATATCATTGATAGTTTTATCTACATGTATCATGTTTTGTTTTCATATGCCTGCATTCTAATAGAGTAAGGTTTGCATGTAGATACATACTCATGGCCATGTATAATGTCATATCCTCTCTTCATGCCTTCAACCCTTAAATGTTTGTTAGCTACTACTTTTCAATGAATCATACACAGCAGTTTATGCAAACCATTACACTTTTACTGTACTATAAGTACCATAGCCTTAAAGATGGAGGCAGTATCTCTGAAACCTCAAAAATGTAGCCTGTGTACATTGTGTCTTCAATTCAAAACAGGATCCACATTAACACTGAACAGCTAGAAAGCCTCAGATCTTCTGTAACAGTTTTATTATAAAAGTTTTACATTGTAGACGTGAAGGAAGAGGACTGATGTTAGCAATATACATTATATTTTACAGTTTTCAGCCATGAACGGCTTAATTTCTAGAACAATCCTGTCCCGGAAATTGGTCACATTGAGTAACACAGGCTGTATCTTCAACAGAGAGACTTGTTTCTGATGCACCTCTTAGTCTTTTGTTTGATATAAGTAATCATGAGCAAAGTCATATATATAATTAACAATTATAAAAGCTTTAATTCATATAGTTAAAAGGGGGGAAAAGTTATCTTAAAGTTACCTTGCTGTGGTAGTGGTATTGTCACACTTTCTGTAACTGACTTTTTAGGATTATATATTCATAATTTTTTATTAATATTTAACTTGAGTTCAAACTTTAAAAAATAGAAATTTCTGTACTTGCATTTTTTTAATTTAGTTTCTCTGACCTAAGAATCCCTTTGCTTCACTTAGGAGCAAGAAGGATATATTATTATTATTTAATGACCTAATGTTGCAATCAGACATCTTCCTAACAGTTTATTCATTAGATGGCCCACTCTTATATCTGAGTATGTAATAGTATAATGGAACAGCTGACAGAAGAATATTTTTAGATCAATTCTGGAAATGTATGTTTCAAAGGAAACTTTTCATAAAAGTAATGTTAGATATATTTCTTTGTGTGTGTTTGTGTGATAAATGTCAAATACAGGTATTTTATTATTTTCTGATTCTAGATATCTTATTTACCATTTATATTTGATCCTATGTTATGTTCATATATCTCCATTATTTTAGGGAATTTAAAAGTGTGTTCACTTCAGTTTTATCTTTAATTAAGTCTTATACCTTAGATGCATAGGGGACATTTTTAAATTTTATATAGCCATTAGCAAGATGGTACTTGCTATAGAAACACATTATAGTGTAAGAAGTAAGTTTCATTGCCTGTATTTTATTCATAAATATTTTCAGATTAAACCTGCAACTGGAAAGATAGTATCCTTAATACTGTAGGATATGTGTGCACTTCATCTTACTGGCACCAGAACTAAATCTATTTGAATGTGTGGTAATAACATTAATAAAATATTGTGATAGATAGTACTCAAGTATCAGAAATTAAGTTGTAAGGTACCTGTCATCATACCACAGAAGGGACATGGAAATAAAATGATCAACTTACAACAAAATAAGTAAAATGTTGGCATACAAATCTTATCACAAACCAAACTAAAAATTCAAAACTTCGCATCACATGTAATATAATAGTGAAGAAAGAACATATTGTCTACATTCAGTGAATCCTGGTCTCTGTAAGTTGATGGCTCATCAGTGTTAGGATTTGAAGATAAAATCTGCATATTACATTCTTATATCACAATGTCTGGGGAAAAAATGGGGAGAGAGTAATGCAGATTGTATTTGGATTGTGTAATTCTGGTTTTTGATGCTGTGTAGTCTTGAAGGTGGTTGAAGAAACTTACCTCCATCACCAAGACAAGTTTAAAAATTTCTAATGTAAAATTTATTTTACTTCTTACACTAAACTGTAATATTCCTGCTAAAAGTGTTCAGATTTTTAAAATGTTTAAAACTTCTGGAATAGAATATAGAGTGTCAGATTGGAGGATGAATATAAATGGTTAATTGGGAAGGATGAGAAAGAAATTAACCATGGTCTGTTTTTAGGTGCTATTACAGCATTAGCCTTTAGGGAATGAGGACAATTTCATTAGCATAACAGGTCTGTGGGTAGATATATGAACTGAAGATGTTGGAGTATGCAAATAGGGATGCTAACCACTAAATGCTGACTTTTGTATGGTGTTGTTTACTCTGGAACTCTGCCTCCCCTGTTGTCATCCATGGCTCTGCAAAGGTATTTAGGGGAAAGCAGTAAACATTTAAACCAAGGGGCATATTTATGCTGCTGTGGTAAAATAAAGCTTTCATTTAGCTCATAAGCCATGCCATAACTCTGGTGGTTAGTATTAATTGCATATAGTGTGGTCTAGTACACGGAGTTGTCCTCCGGGGTCTTCCCCGGTTTCTCCGTGGCATCCCAACAATTACTCCATTCACACACAGAAGAAGGCAATGGCAAACCACTTCTGGATCATCTGCCAAGAACGTATATGAACAGGCCCCAGTCCGAGAAAAGGATGGAAGGATCCTGTTCATATGGACCTGTCGTCAGACAGAACACTAAATAAATAAAAGTGTGCATTGGATTTTTTTCTGTATATGCAGCGAATGATTTGGTCCTTGTTTGGCTGTGTTTAATTTCAAAGTGGGAAGGTATTGCGGTTCTTTCCATTGTTGCAGTTTTAATTTGCATTTTTATTTTGTTTGTTTATAGAACTTAGATGTGTCTACATTAATGTCAGATTTGTTAAAGTGGTTCCTTCATTGTTTTTAATAGTTATTGACGAGGATATGATGATGTCAATAAGTATTTGCCACCATGTACTGGTTAAAGACAGAGCTATTCTTCGAGGGGCACAGGACACCATTTAAGACGAATCCGGATTCCAGAAATTCTAGGAATTCATATTCAGAAGTATGGGATATTTGAAATGGCGGGAATTTGTTATACTTCCGTTGTTGGCAACACGTTTTATATATTTGTACCGGACCTGTACGGAACACGATTGTCACATGTTTCGGTCCCGTGGAGGCGGAATCGCCCATCCAGCATGGTTCGAAATTATCATTCAATACAACAATTTTAATACAGTTTTTAGAACGTGTTACATTTTACAGTGTGTTTGTGGTGATGTTATTGTGTATTTACATTTATGATATACCAGCTTCCTACAATGTCCGAATCATCAGCTGTTAGAAGCATATCGTCATTTATAAGGTAAGTCACGGTATCTTTCCGATTTGGAAAACTGTCTGTTTTCTAATTCATTGCATTAAAAGTGATGTCATTTCATTGCGACGGCTTCAGGCGAAATGTATGAACCATCACATGAATGAAAATAGGTATGTGAGTATCGAGAAGTGTTTTTTATATGAATGAAAATGTCGGAATAAGTACGTGGTTTTAAGATTTGAGGTGTACAGGGCTGTGAAATTGTGGATTGTTATCTAGGTTGTGTGGATGTACGATAAGATTACATGAAATCACAACCCAATTGATGGGTTGATGTTAGGACAAGTATGTTACGGTTTACCCCATTTATATCCTTAATGGAAGTAAATTGGGGTATAACTGGAACTGCTAATAATCACATAGTGTACCACATTTATAGCACAAAAATATGAAGGTATATTAGTTTCTCGGAAATTCTCCACTGTGGACTTTAAATGTGATGACCTGAAGTGAAGTGGTATCCATATTTTACTTTACTGTAACAAATTTCATTCACATCTGTGAAGGTAAATATTAAATTCTGGTCATAAGTTAAACATCTTTAACACAGTAAGAAGTTTCTTAATACTCACTAGAGAGTAATATCCAATACAATTTTGAGGTTAGATTTTCCCATCATAACCCTGATGACGGAGGCAGCAAAGACCTCCGAAACGTGGGCAAACTTCCACCAGACTACACGGCGTAACAACCCAAAAGACAGCCATGTTATTTATGTGTCTTTAGTTGCAATGGATAACATAACATAATTCTATTTTCATTGCTGCCATTAATAAAAAAAATATTCTTCCCCTTTTTATCACTGTAGTAATATTTTTTCTTTGAATTTTATTTGCTGATTATCTTCTGCCATTTTTCTATTAGAAATTTTCGAGGTTACCTTGGATGGGGAATCAACTGATTGCAAAGTTGCATTCACCCAGGACAGTACATAAAAAAGCAGCCATATAGCCAGGCTTCAAACATGATAAATACACTAAACACTAGCTTGGATAGTTGATCTTCTCATTGGGGAACTTCCAAATACAAAGCAAGAATGCTAACCAGTATGTTGCTACTTTTGTTCATTATGATTTTATCAGGTGATAAATTTATAGCTTATGTTGTTTCCACTCTTCTTTGATAGTATTTTTCCATGTATTTGTGGTACTGTATATTTAAAACATGTAATGTAGTGATTTTGTGCATATGGTTTTTGAAAGAAACATCCAAGGGAAATATGAACAAGTTCAAGGCGCGGTGTAGTCAGGTCGATGCTAACCAACGTTTCAGAGATCATACTGCCTCCGTCATCAGGGCGCCCTGATGACGGAGGCAGTATGATCTCTGAAACGTTGGTTAGCATCGACCTGACTACACCGCGCAACAACCCAGAAGACGGAAATCTTCAAGAGGTATGTTTAGTTACTTCTATATAGTGACATGGTAAGTTTTAGTTCATTTCTGTCAAATGACCATGTTTTGTGTATACTGGCTTTTCTTTTTGTCAGCATGCTGACTCAAAACTTCATATTTACATGTCTTATTATACTGAATTTGTCTCATTTTAAATTTTAATAAGGGGCTACAAGCATTCAGACAATCAGACTTGAAGAATATTTGTTCAGTTATAAAATTAAATTAAATATCCCGTTCCCATTTTCATCCTGTTATGTGTCTAACAAAGTTGCTGTCACTCTTTTTGCAAGGATGTTAATTTTCATGTGCTGATGCATTGTATGTTTGTCACTAATTTGCAAAGACATCCCACTACTTTTGTAAAATACAATCAAGTACCACTTCTTTCAAATTAAAATTGTAACTAGCTTCATTTTGTTATGGAAGAGGATAGTAGGATGTTTAACAAAGAACAAACTCATTTTTCACCTCTTGATTTTCTTTCTTTTACTACTGTAACCAGTAAAGAAGACTGACAGGAACATCATCATCATCATCTGGAATTTAAAACTTCAAACATTTTAACTGATTTTTTTTATTTTTCTTGTTATAAATTATACATATTGTTTTTATAAATGATGTTATAATTCAATGCCCATTACACAGTTTCAAGAAGCTGGAAGGATTAAGAATGATCTTCATTCATATAATCCTCTATTGAGTAGTAGCAACCCATAATAAGTAACATTCAGTTTCTTTTTAAATTTGTTGTTTTCAATTTGTTTCATATTGTTAGGCAATTTGTTATAGAAGATACATCCTGCTACTAATGGTTTACTGTTATAGAGTTGTAACTTATGTCTACATTTATGATAATCATTGTTATCTGTTGTGTTGTATGAATGCACTTGTTTATTAACGGTGCAGTTACACTTTTCTTTTACATATAAGATTGTTTCTTGAATGTATAACGAGTACACTGTTAATATCTTTAGATACCTAAAACTATCTCTGCATGATGTCAAACCTCTAGATTCGTGTTTTCAAAATACCTCTTTAGAAAACTAATACAGCTGCTGCTCCAAAAGTTGTTACGTGTAAAATATTTACAGATAACAATTCAATGTTCTGATATATTTAAATAATTGCCATTTATAGAATACATACTGATGAAGAATGATAATAATGAAACTGATAATTAACTGTATTCAGAAGTAAAAACTGTAACTTTATCAACAGTCTCACCTATCAAATTTCCCAAAGTTGAAGCCAATATCATGTAACATGACCCTCAGTGTATCCTTTACACCATGAAAACTTTTGTCATCTCTGATTTCGTGCATAATTCTTCTCATAGTGGCTGATTTACCTGCATAAAACGTAATTAGGCCTAACAATATGATTTATTTTGTAAATGTTGAACAACAGCTTTTAAGTACAAAGCATCCAACTGAAATGTATTTCTTGCATTCCATATGAACTTTCAGGACTTTACCTCTCTAAGGGTTAGCTACACAAGGAATTGTTTAATTGAGACTTTAAGCATTATTCTTCCTGTCGTGCTCCTCTGTTGTTTGTCCACTGCATCCCGTTATCAGACACCTGGATACATTTATTTCAAGTATAATAGATGGCATGAATATCGGGATTAGAAAGTGAAGCTGTTTCATGTAGTTCGCCCATTCTTCGATAGGTGGAGAATGCACATATATTTCAGTACGGCGAAACTAGACGAGTCATGTCTCACACGACAAAATTTGTTGGGATCTTCGGCTGTAGCTCATCTCGCATGCGTCATAGCCATTTCGATAAGTGTTTGTTATGCATCATTATTATCTTTATTAATAGTATAAAATTTGGCTTTTGAAAATGGAACT